GAGTCCAAGCAAACTTCGGCTCAAACAAATTCTCTACCAACTTTCTGATGCAATTCATGGAGTGAAAAGCATGCTTAGGAAATACAGCGTGATAAAACAAGGTACCTTCTGTGGCTGCTGACTTGGATTCTGTGGATCAAACGTTGCTGATCGGAAATAATTATTTCAGGGGTAGAAGATGCTGCCGCAAACACTGCTACGTTATAACGATCCCATTTAAAGTGCTTTATGATATCAGATGTGCCATTGTGTGATAGAAAATTCGGATTTGCATTTGGCACACGGAACACGGGAATCGTTGTCTCGTGTTGCCTACTTAATGATTGGAAAACCACTCTCCTATTGGGTGGTCATCTTACACGTTCGTTTAAACGGTTTTCCTAACAACCTGGACAAAATGCAGGCGTTCTCCACTATAGTTCGGGTTTTTTCACCTACATCCTATACGCTCAAAGCAGGACATTCTAAGGTCTACGACCTCAATGCACCTATCGAAGGTGTGGCGGATTGATCGAACCGGCCGACAGGTCATGAATGCAAGCCACAGACCGGATGTACGTGCGGGGTCAGCAACGGTGGACTGCACTGTCACGGTGGCTACAGACATCTGATCCACCGCTCGACTGAAGCAGGGACTAAGTAGTGAAAAGAGCTAGTGGCCACGTGCATCAAAGAATGAACACTTGCAACAAGCCCTGAGAGCCTGTCCTTACGTGGCCCGATGAACACGTGCGAGCGAGGTAACTAGGGCATGACGTGTTGCTAAATTTCGCTGCACAGTGTAAGCCGTGTGAATGGATGAACACGATCGGTTCAGATATTACGCCAAATTTCGGTTTGCATCAGTGAGACAATACAATTGCTTTGTGACCGGCCTCCAGAAACTCATTCATGTCTGCATTGCTCTGTCCCTATGCCATCTCAGTCTCTCGCCACCCGGAGAAATAAACTATTTGTTTTTTAAACAGTTGGTTCCCTTCAATAGATTGAATAACATAAAGAAAAGACGATCAATGGTAAGTGCGCGTATTTCGTATTGTCTCATCAGTAACAAAACAATAATTAGAAATGGTCTTATACCTTTCGAAGGGTGATACCAACCCCCAAGACCGGGGTATCCGTAAGTCAGCAACTGACTGTTTCTGCACACACAGGGCTGGTCTTAGCTGGCTTGTAGTCACGGCCTCGATGAACAGCAAGAAGCGCGGATTGGGATGACGTAGTCTCTGAAATGCGGAGCCGGGGTTACTCCGATAACGGGTCAATAAAACATGACTTTATCGATGATGCTGGCGGTTTGCGTGCACACGAAATATTGGGCGAGGGATGGCTGACCTCACGTTGAACGCACTTGACCAGGTGTTCCTTCACTCTGGACTTCAAAACACCCATTCTTGCCTAGCTAGCTGACGCCGCAGGTATAACCAAATTGGTGAGTACAGTGGGATTTGGCGTTGATGGGTCCCACTTCCTTTACTGAAAGTAGTGACAATTTCCGGGTTCTGTTGATCACCACAGCATCTGCAGCGCAGTAGGTTCTATGAATGGCGGAGAGTAAGCGCTTGGTTGCCCTCGGTGAAGCCGTGTTATCCTAAAATGTCAGCTCGAGGTAAACATTTTCCTTAGGTGCTATCAACACCGTTTCTATCCGCGGTCTGACTTGACTATGCTTCGTAGTGGAGAGCGATTTTCCATTCATCAAGTAGGCAACACGAGACAACGATTCGCGTGTTCCGTATGACAAATTCAAATCCGAATTTTCTATGACACGGTGGCACATCACATAACAGAAAACAGTTTAAATCGGACCGGTATAAGGTAGTAGTGTTTGCCTCAGCATCTTCTAATCCTGAAATAATTATTTCGGATCAGCAACGTTTGGAAACAGAGAATACAAGTTAGAAGCCACAGAAGGTACCTTGTCTTATCACGCAGTATTTCCTAAGCACGCTCTCCATTCCCACGATTTGTCATTCATTTTTTCGAGCTAATGAGCTTCGCGCTTTGCAAATACATGATGCTCAGTATCCGCGAGGATTAAATATTGCCTAGAAATGTAGCTTCTCAGTTCCGTGCTAATGGAATATTGCCACATCAGTGAATACGTTGGAATGAACGCTTATGGTCCCGCCTGAAACAAATTGGGCAGTATAAGCACACTTGTTTCCAGCAACAGCGATCAATACTGTTCAGTCGGGATTCCTACGCAGCAGCGAGTAGTCTTTAGGTGGCATAGTATTTCAAGGCTCTCTTCTCAAAACGTCATATATTTGCAAGTCCTATTTGTAAGCAATGTCTATTTTGCTATGGTAGGTTGTTGGAGGGTAACTTTCAGTCTACAAGACCGATGCCAATAACCCTTTTGTCGTTAGCTGGGATAACACTAAGCACCTACTGCACGCTCCTTGCTCAGGCCAGTTACGGCTGTCGAAGCGCCACCACAATATTACCGCAGTAGCCGGGTAGTGCGGCACTGCTGTTTCGGTTTTGCACACCTGTGTCCGTTCGAATCAAGTTTACACACCGTATGTATCGATGGGTGAATTGCTCTGTGGTGTGCCGTAGGTTGACTCCAACTCAACCGTCGTTGTTGCATATGCAGTGTCACTTTTTGCGTGTTTATTTTCATTCTACATTAGGTATTGGTTGTTTGATATCCCCGGTGCGACTGCGCTTTACGTGAATGTTGACAATGTTCCTATCCTGTCCAACACAACAATTCGATTACTGGCTCCAGGAGAATGGAAATCGCTACTGGGGTACAGGATGCACGACCCTCATGAGCATGCTAGGCTCAAACAGTGGTCCCATCGAGTGTGAAGAGGATGAGGGCGCAACCACCACCTTAGGTATGCTTAGTACGCATGTTTCCTAACTAAAAAATATAGGGAAACTGCTGCCGTACATATTAAAGTAGTGTGGGCCGGCTCCGTTGATGAAACGTGGCTGTCATCCGCATGCCTCCCGGTTTCTTTGATCGGGTTTACGCTGGATATGCATTGGAGCAGCACACACCAATCATGGTCTCTCTGTAGGTGCACTGACAGGTACATCCGGAATGGGATGAAGCCAATTATCTGGCTTCCACGTAAGTGATGAATGTAAGGGCATCGTTTATGGCAACCGCTCTAAATACGTCAAAAATCCTCGATGTTGCAACCGGAGAACCGCACTTCGTTTTGGTTTATTATGTGTTGTTAGTCAACCGCATAACAGCGGTCAAAAAAATGTTTTCTTCTCGCCATGGCGCCTCATGTTTTACGACACTCCTCGTTTTACTGTGCGTCGAAACGTGTCAGCAAGGAATTGCTATACACTATGTAATATATCACGTCCTTTTGGCTTATCATTAGTGATGCCTCCCAAACCATAACTCTTCAAGTGACTTCTGTGTCATCTACTCTATCCCTGATGGTTTCCCGCGCGAATTCCAGAAGCATCCACTATGTATTGCGGAAGCTATCTACATCCGCCACTTCAAGCTAGAATTGTGCATACAAAGACAGGTTGTGCGTACTTTACTTCTACCGTGGCCTAAAACTTCGGTTTCACGCGCTTTTGATTTATGCCCCGGTAACTCTTTGTTTATGAAAGTGATTTGTCCCTGTACATAATCTGCCACCTTCAGTGATCGCGTGATGTTATGGACGCGTTTTTCCGTTGGAATTATATATAGTTTAAGCAATACGAAACCCTATCCAGCAAATGTACCACGTAACCGTCATCATGTAAACTGTGAGTCTAATGAGAGTATCCGAAAAGAATTGTTCACTCAGAATCTGCTTCCTTATGATTCATTCAATGCACTTTCGTCCAAGGAGAAACTCGCGGCTCCACTGGTGTAGTGATCCGCCAATACTACGTATTCTCAGCCCATGATGAAGGACCTCATGGTTTAGTCGAACGCTTTAATGAAGTTGATGTAGACGACGTTAGCAGAGTTCCCTTGGTTCACTACCTGCAACCATTTATGCCTCGTCACCAGCAGGTAGGAAATCCATGAGCGGCCTAGCATAAAGCCATGATGTGTAGTGTCAGTAGATCTTTTGACTGGAGTAGTTGTAGTAGAGCTCTTTTCACCCCATCCACGGCAACCTTGGCCAAAATAGGTGTCAGACAAATTCGTATGTAGCAGCGCAATCTGCTGCGATCACCACCTATCACAATCGGCTTTACTACTGAGTATTTCCAGTCGCTCATCAAAGAACCTTTGGACAGCGACCTGACTTGTTAAACAGGTCAGTCAAGACAGGGAAGATGATGGCCGACAGGGGCTTGAGAATCGGTGGGTAGAGTCCGAGATTTTTAGAAGATTTGGTTCTTTCAAGGTTAACGAGTAGTTGATGCGCCTCTTTAACACTACAATTCGGACCATTGCGCGATACGAGTGGAACTCTCTGCAGACTTGGTCATTTACGAATGGGGAAGCGAAGTGCGCCGCCAACGCGGACGCAGGCTCGGTGCTGGAGGTTAGGTGTCGTCCGTCCGAGTCCTCTAGCACTAGTAGATAACCTGTAGGTTTCAGGCGCAGCTTTAATTAAGCACAGATTCTCTTCGGGGCGGTCTATGATGCAGTTGCGAGTTGCTCCTCAGAATGCAATAAAACAACCATAGTTCTGGGCGAAAAGCTGACATCGAAGTAGCCAAAATACGGTAATAGTTGTCAGTTTGAGTCATTTTCACATAGGTGAGCACGGGCCTATTTACGATCGCCAACTACGGTGAGCGGAGCGACGAGCTTGTCCAATCTGTCACTGGTGACCAAATCGGTTAGAGCGGTATCGTAAAGACCCAAAAGATGATACCCGGTTTAACTCAATGGGTCCGAGAGGTATGTAAACAGTACAGTCTCGCCGAAGCGAATGCAAATAAGTATGGAAAATGAGCGATAAAAAAGTAGACTACTATTGAGAACGGATAGTGCTAGGTGATGGTCAATGAAAAGTAAAGATTGAAATAATCGGCTATGTTCGACGTGGATGAAGAACAAATGAGAGTACCTGTTGGCTTGCTTTTTCAGATAAACAATCCCATTTCGGCCTGTACGCCACACGCCGGAGGTGGGCAGGCATAGCATCCAGTGGTGTGGCAGGACAAGCGAGTTCGTTTGGGCGAAAAAGTGGAAAATGTTGCAACAAAATGGGTCGTGTATAAACCGTCGGTCGCTTGCCTGAGGAAATAATTGAAAAAGGCGTAAAAAGTCCGATGACATTTCAATATTAATGAGACTCCTACTTCTATTGCAACGTAACAAAATAGCTTGCAGGCGCGCACATAGGAATACTTCGGCAATAACAAAAGTGCAAATTATAGTCATAGTTGAATGGAAATATAACCAACTACTAACACGCAAAAAAGTAGGCTAAGAGTAATCCGCAGATAGGCCTATTCACCCGTCTAATAAGTCGCAGCTTACATAACAAAAATGTATGACTGAACACTGGCAGCTGGGGTTGGCGGTTGAAATTTTGACTGGAGACGTTTCGCCACCAATCGAGGTGACATCATCAGTGCGTAATGTGTCAAGTAGCAATGCAGGAACAGTCAACTGAAGCAGTACGGCAATCGAGTGCACGCGATGATGCTCCTGAGCGAATGACATTTGGTCGACCGATAACAATCCATACATAAGTGAGAGAATCATTCTAACAACCAGAGAACCACCCTTTTCATGAGCTACATAGTGAAAATGGATAAAGCCCAATAATCTAACAGCCTCAGGCTTGTAGGTGACATCATACGAGCAATGCACAGGTCCTTCCGTGTTCTATCAGGCTGTAGTTACGAACGAGAACGGCTTAAGAAAGATAGGTGCTCTCCAATCGAGTCGCATGGAGAATGGTGAAATCGTTTTCTCCATGCCATTCTTACTCATGACAAATCAAAGGTATCAGCAAGGCTAGGACTTGAACCCGATACCCTTGTGATTGCCAAGTTAGCCCTCTCTCGTAGACAAAACTCCTCAAACAGGGGACGGATTCGCTGTGTTCCGAAGTATTCATTTGCGACAGGAGTGCCAAATGAGAACCAAGTATGCGCCACAATTTTCCTCGGTCACTTCGAGCAATGAATTGTAACCTGAGTAGACATCATGAGGGATGTTCGCTCCAAACGCTGCAGAGATACAACAACATTTTACGCGAGCGATGTAAAAGGTGCCGAAAGTGGAATCACGTGAGGCTGAAGTCTACACAGCGAAAAAGAATTGTGTCCTTGGTACATTTTGTATACTTACGATCACTATCCATATCCAATTGATAAGGTGGGTGCGAATAATCCACTCTCGGGTCACATTTGGCGGAACGGGCCATGGGTGCACATGAAAGATATTGACCTATCGCATATACGTCGTATTCCGCCTCCGAACAAAGATTGCACTCATCGCCTTCAAAAGCCATACTATTGGCTAAAACGAAGTGAACGCCGGCGTGTGTCCACAAACGGACTGCGGAGCTGTTGGCTGCTGGTGTAAGTTTTCGACGAAAACGGTAATCAAAGTATGGATGAATGCTGTAGAACAAGCAGAGAAGAACCAATTGAGTGAAAACGGCTGAGAAAAAACGGTTGATTGGGCAACAATCAAAGCCGTTATAAAAGGAAGCTGCCTAATGAAAGAACATTGACTTAAAGTACATGAATTCACGCAAACAAATACAGAAGTTCAAGGAGTATACAGTCACAGAACAACAGAGATGTCAAACAGGCATTCGGGCCAGTGGACAACACCTAACACGTCAACCGTGTTGGTTACGAACAATGAACCGTAAATTTACGAGAAAGTACAAGAGGTACGCACGGCCCCCAACTCGGAATACGAGAGGGATCAATGATACACACTGTAATGGACAGGATACATTTTCGCATCTCAGACTGAGAATACTATTTATTTATTTTAAAACAGGAAGTGATGCCCCTAGGTAGATGATGGGTAGTTATAAGTACCATGTACCCAAATCGCTGCAACTTGTACAGCATTATCTGTTGATCAGTCGAACAAACAGGACCACCGGCACTAGTCCTTGCCTACGCAGATCACCGTTGCTGTTACTTTTATGGCTTCCGACACAACCAACAAGAATCAACAGTGTCGAGGCGCCTGAGGGCGTCAGATCGATGCGGGCGAATCCCTTTGTCAAAATGGCCATCATTAAAACCATCTATTTATGCACATTATGGAGACAGGCAACTCCAGTTTTGATGCGTGGGTGTTGCGGTTTCAGGGAAGCAAAGTGAGCTTTTCTAATACGTGTAATGCGCTCAGTGGTCACATGTCTATCGATGCTAACGCAATTGCCCAGCTGGCTATTTATTCAAGCATCTCTAATTACGTGGGCTCAAGAAAGTGGTTGACATCTCTGCAACAACTTGCACATTGAAGGCACAAAGTGAATGCTCAAGGATGAGACCACTTCGCAGTATGGGTGTGGTTGACTGCGTGCCCTCGTGCTTGCCAGGTCTGTGTCGTACGCATGATCCAGCCAAACCTATTTGCCCCTGGGTAGGAGCTCATTAACTGCATCGTGATACACATCACGGGCTGGCTTCATGCTTACCCGAAAAATCACACAACCAACCGTGATGCAGCAAGACACTGCGAACGTTAACCTGTAGAGAGACGTAGAATAAATCCTCGTAGATGAACACGCAAATTCAGATGCTCGGATATAGAACGTGTAAAACGTAACCTAAGCACAGAAACAGCTTTTTGACCAACCACGAAGTAGTCTGACTCAATGGATCGGATAACTGCACAACGTCGACGTGATCTACATCGATGTCAGCAAAGCGTTCGACAAGGTGAAAATGGAGGTCCTCCTCCCCAAGCTGAAAATGCTCCCACACGGGTGTTTAACGCTCATCTTGACATGACTTGACTGGTGTGGTGTTGGTGGATCTCTACACTAACGGATCCAGGATTTCCCCGTTGGACGAAAGTGGAGGGCAAATAGACACTTAACCGACTGGTATCCTTCGACCACCGGGGTACCTAAAGGCACGGTGCGGGGGCCTACATTGTTCCTGATTTATTTCAAAGACCTAACTAAGCTTCTTCGGTCACTGTGTGCCCCGTTTGCAGTCGATCTGAAGATGTAGAGAGTGATAAGCACATCCGACGACTGCGGCTTACTTCAAGAAGACCTAAACCGTCTATTCATGTGGCATGCAAAAGTCCGGCTTCCGGTCAACCCATCCAAACCTGGGGAAAGGCGATGACGACCAACTGCAACATCGCACACCTTCCGTGAAAGAAATAGGAGTACTCTCACCTTGCGCTTGGAAGTCCGTTGACAACACGAACAGACTATAGCATTTCATGCAAAGTTGCATAAAAGGTCCAAAATTTTGCAAAAGAGCAAAATGTTGCAAAACCCTGTGCGATTGGCCAGCCGCTCAGAGCCAATCCTCTGACCTTAAGTGTGTTCTCATTGGCCGGATGCCAAGGTTCGGTGCGTTAGTCTGGGGAGGTGAGCGCGCTGCCCGATGACTGGGTGAGACTTGTGAATGAACCTTAGAGGAATGCACTTCGACGGTGCAACGGGCTTGTATGCGCCCCCCTCACGTCCGAAACGATGGATCACAATTGGTCTGAGAGCAATGAACAGTTGGAACATAACTGCACGACCGAAACTATGTCTATGATCCTAACGTCGACGGCATGCCTTCTCGCGTTCAACAGAGTATCTCATCAGACATTCGTGACCGAGTTTTGGGCGTTTTCGTCAACGGTGATGACTGGCAGCTTGTGGCAACTGTGAACAAAGTCAAATATCAAACAGCCTACTCCTGGATTTGTCGTTCTCTTGATCAGGAGCCGAGTACTACGCAGGCGCGCAGTCGTAAGCGGAGGAAGACGTAAATGACATCCTGGATTGGATCGCAAGGGACTCAACTCTTACGCTACGGGAAATGCGAGTACGAGCAGAAATGGGCAGGGACATTTCGAAGTCAACAATCGCACGGCACTTAGATGGTCTATTGATAACTATGAAGAGCATCTATCAGGTTCCCGAGAGAATGAACAATGAGCGAAACAAAGGGATACGCAGGGAATTCGTTCAGCAGTTTCTCCAACTTGAGAGCGATGGCAAGTTCTTCATTTGGATTCACGAAGCGAACTTCAATGTTTACTGCAAACGCATTCGTGGTCGGACGTCCAGAGGAGTGAGGGCCTGTTGCAAAGTTGCCAACAGCAGAGGGCACAATTTGCATTTAATCGGTGCACTCAGGATGGAAGGGAGTGTCGATGACAACTCGGAGAGGCTCATTCACAGGTCTCCCTATATCTCGAATGGCTGCGAAGCTATTTAGACAACCTGAAACGGGAGATGGAGCTCCGGCAGGTTGTCGTGGTATGTGATAATGCACCATGTCACACGACTGGAAGAACTGTCGTCAGTAGATGGATACGATGGAGTAACCATACTGAGATTGAGCCCATACTCTCCATTCCTCAATCCGATCGAGAATGTTTGGCAGGTGGTGAAGGCCAGAGTGAAGAATGAGATGAGAGTGCACTACGAGGGACTTCTGGCCGGGGATCCCCAGAAACTCATGACGCAGATGGAATGGAGGCTGCAGTTCCTTGAACGCATTGCCAAAGCAGCCACCAAGGTTATCAGCGTTGTGGGATGTCGTAATGCTATTCGACATATGCGTGTACATTTTACTAAATGTCTGGAAAAAATGACATATTTTGATCACGTTGCCGGTCTATCTTTTACGTAGCTGGTTGTATAGCACGTTACTGACAGCGCGTAGAGGCGTGTGAGTATTCCCAGTGTTTTCAAAATATGTTAGCACATATGTAAGTTTGTGTGTTCGTACGGGGATTGAAGCGATATCTGATGTCTAGCGCAAGGGAGTGACACGGGACCGGCTTCCAGTGAGCAATGCCCGAGTGATATATTCAACTTATGGTCTTTTTCGTGCTGGTATTCGCTGCGCCGTACTCTTTCATGATCAGCCTGAGATAATGTAGGTACAGTTTCATTGTTCTGAAAACTAGGATGTTTGGAAAGCGCTTTGTAGGACCAAGTGAGCTTGCCGGGTGAAGCAACCGTCAGATATATCACAGTAGGGGATATCAACGTGGATAGTTAAATAGTAGTGAATAAGAAATTACTGCGCACGTCATGTCAGGCTTTTCCAAGAGTGAGAGGAACTGATAGATGCGAGTTCGCAAACACGTCCATTGCCAGACAAGATGTCGTCATTGAAGCTGAGCGACTGAATCGCGTGTCTAGTGGATACCGTCTCTGTGAGATGTTTGTCCGCTGTATTTGAGTGCACTGGCGCGTTAATTTGTTACCCGATTGGAAGTTCGTCTGTCAGATTCGGAATCCACATCAGCCGGTTCGGAAGCTGTCATCATCATCATCATCAACAGCAGTACATCAGCCATTTTAACTGATGCTTCGCTGCCATACAACCATGAGGACCTATGAAATAAAGAATAAGAGGGAGAGAAGGGGGACTTAACTGAAAACCTTAATGCCCTAAGCAAACATTCGGAAGCTGTACTTGAGATTTAAAAGCAACCGTTCCTACAGTAAGCCCAATTTAAATTTGCGTGCCAGAAGGGTCTGAATAGCTGTCCAGTACGACTTGGAAACTGTCTTAATTGTTCGGATGATCCTTCGATCGACCCAGTAGCGTGCGTAGGCAAATGGGGGTGTAGTTAGCGTAGAAATGATTCTACGTTGTTAAACGTGGTACTGACAGAACGTCAGATACAGACAACTGAAATATTAAAGTCATCACTACCATCTATCTCAGCTCAGGAAATGTAGCTATCGAAACCGCATCATCATCATCATCATCAACAGCAGTACATCAGCCATTTGAACTAATGCTTCGCTGCCATACAACCATGAGGACCTATGAAATAAAATAAGAACAGGGAGAGAAAGGGGGACTTACCTGAAAACCTTAATGCCCTAAGCAAACATTCAGGGTCAAGGCGCCTACACCTTGTGCAGACAACATACCGTCACAAACAACTGGCTATCGTGCAAAAATAAGGCGGCATCGGCGAGACAGCTTCCTTGCGGCCTTCACTGCCACGCGTCATTATCAGCCATTACCCCGCAGATAACTCAGCACCAAACACACTTTAAACAGACAACCGATTAGGAGACGGCAGCAGATGCGCCACTGGTGTCTACTGCGAGCCATGTCCTGTAAAGTCTCGAGCCAAGCACAAGGTGAGTCACGTGGACTCCAACCCGGAAGGCGAGATGGACCAACGGCACCCAGCTTGCTCGTCAGTGACTTCATTTCCCGTTGCCAAGTCAACTTCTGTCCACATCGAGCCTTGCGCCACCATACACCTGGCAGACTAAATCAGGCCCTCCTAGGTAAGCGGTGACCAGGCATACGTAGCATGTGCCCGAGCCAACGCAACTTATTCAGTACTATCTGTTGTTCTAGGGAGCTAGCATGATTATCACTACCTAGTACTCTCTTAGTCACATCATCGTTGCGGACACGCTGGTGCCATCCAACACCAG